GGTAACTAGAGGTTAATCTGAGCATGCAAGAAGCTTTCCTGCATTTACTTTCCAACCACTGGAATGGCGGAAATTCTGGTGGTAATTTCACCTGCAGCAAGCTGCGTCCACTCCCAGCGATGCCCGCTTGAGTCTCTATCACCTGGGGAAACCCGCGGGGTGTTGCAACTAGTGGTCATTGCGATTATCCACAAAAAAGTTTGGAACCCTGAGCTCATCAAAGCACCTGCCTACCTATCCGAGCACATATGCCCACCAAAGCGTAGGTGGATGTGCCATCAAGGGGAAAGTTATAATGTCCCGTGAGTGCGTGCTAGCAGCGACGCAGGAAAGGGTTGTAGACAAACCACTCGCCACAGGGAATTTGTACTATTGCATATTTCCGGAAAGTCTTTAGAGACCTGCATATCAACTGAAACCTTTTATGGACATGGAGCTATTTTGAGTCGTCATCAGCAAAAGACCTCTCGTTCTCCTGCTCCCTTTTCGTCGCCTATTCCCTTAAACTGGCTGGGCCTCAGCGGACGATTGACAAGGTGCCTCCTTGACCCTAGTCCACCTAGTTCCGCCAGGGTATCGGCGTGAGCAATACAGCGTACCGTATCATACCTTACAATACAGCCTCCACCCAGCCGGCCAGCCCAAACAAGCCAGCAGGATTCTTACCTTTTGCCCGGCATATCATACATCCAGCCGCCAAGCACTTTAGGGCAAGATGTATTTGATATCTTTCACTGCCAATGCATCCTGAACCCTTTTGCATGCGACCATCTGCGACCATCTGCAAGACTGCAACCAGCCCACTTGCCGAGCAAAATTTGAGCAAGAAAAGGATATCTGGATAAAAAATTATTCAAAATGGGGGAAAGCAAAAAAGTGCCTTGCTTCATGTGTGGACGCGAAGAGCCCTCGGAGTCAGCGCGCCATGATTTTGAACGGGCCTGCGCTGATATAACCTCGCTTCGCCCCCGCCTTCCCTCTCCTTCGGAACATCCCCATCTCCTCTTCTGGCTATTATCGCCATCTCTCCTCCGCCGCCATTTCTAATACTCATCTTTTTCTTCTTCTTCTTCTTCTTCTTCTTCTTCTTCTTCTTCTTCTTCTTCTTCTTCTTCTCTTTTTGTTTCTTCCATTCATCTTCTTTTCCCTTCGCACTCCATCACCATTTTCCCACCGCCTCCCCTGCGCCCTCTAAAACCCTCCTCCCGCCACCCTCAATTTATACTTATGCTCTTCATCCCTCCATTCTCCTCTCCCTCCCTTGGCGCATCTTTGGTGACCTGGATTACGAGTCTGGCAAATTGTGGACGAATGTTGATTTTATTATTATAATATACATATGTTGGATGATTATACTCTTTCTAAATTTCGATCTATTATTATATTGTTGAAACCCTTCTTGCTCAGCCCTTAGGGACCTTCATAGTCCCGCCCAGCCAGGATGCCCACAATCCTACTTCCAGCGTCGGCTGCTGCCTTCGCGCCAAGGTCATCTCCAAATGTTGTTTTAAGCTCCCGGGTAGAACCGTGGTTAACGGTTACATTGAAAAGAGTCAACCGGGTCGAGCGCCCTCTTAATAACGTCACGCAGCACACGCGATGTTTGACGGAAACCCTTTCGTCGCCAAATGCCATCTGGACTCTGTGCTCTATCATGCTTCCCAAGGCTCCGGAATCGGAGTTGCGACAGGACGACAATCCACTGGTTGAAGCCCTGTTTAACTACCAACTCCTCCACATGGAAGCATACGTCGTTCACGTTGACATGGTGTCCCAGAACGAAGTCGCTTTTAAACTCACCCCGGAGACTATTGAATCATTGGTTGAGTATCATAAGGATATCTACTCTGTGGACACTGCCGCCAAAAACTGGAACTGGCCGGAGAAAGAGGTACAGCTTAAGAAATTGCAGCAGGAGTTCGTTCAAGCCGCGAACAGATTCGTTTATCGCACGTCTGCGACTGCACTCGAGGGAATGGAGGAGGACGGTGCGGGTGAGCTTCTTTGTGGTCGGAGCGATGAGGCCAAGGCCGCCATTCTTGGATTGTTTGTGCCGCTGCTACCTCCTCCGCCTCGCATTGTTGATGTGGTGAGGCCTACTCCACTCCTACCCAGCTCGACGGGGCCTGATAACTGGTGGCACAGTCCAATCCATCAACCTCATCCCGAGCCGGTTGATTCGTGGAATGTTCTCCCGTCCAGCCCAAGCACAACTACCTCGACCGATACACACCAGAACCTGTGGGCTGCCAGCCTTGCGCTCAATGAGATTCAAATTTCGTCGCCAGCGCCGCCACAGCCCACCCAGTCGTACTCCACCGCCGCGTACAGTGAACCTCAGTATTTCAGCTCTCCGGCAACCACAGCATCAATCCCGCAGTTCCTGCTGCCCAGCATGCTTGCGCAGCAACAGTGTAGCACCGCAGCGAGTATTGGGGGTTTTGGTCTGGGTGAGCGATATCAGGACTTCGCCCTTCCATATGGAACTACGATGTAGCAGCCACAGGCGGTCAGGTTACGCGCGGACCTGCCAGAGCATGAACTGGGATTATACTTCCGTCAATAATTACATTTGGAGGCATCTACGCTTCGTGAATATGTGGCACTTTGACCAATGTTATAATGAGACATGCGACTTCGACGCTCAGACACGACCTTCGCGTGTGACACCAACGACATCAGCGGCATACTCCGACGGCGTTTCATAATTCATCGACATAGCGGCAATTTAGGGAGGGCACTTTTTTCTTTTTTTCTTTTCTTCCCAGTTGAGACTGCCTAATCTTTTTTTTTCTTTTTTTTCTTTTTTATTTCTTATTGTCATTGATTTGATTTTGTCATGCGTTGTTCAGCAAGCGTTGCTTTTTTTTCCATGGGTCTGGTCATCTCATTTTGTTTTCTGCATTTTGCATAAGAACCGGCGGGTCGGCTATCTGACGATTTATTTTACGTCATACTAACTCCCTTGGCGGATGTAATTTTTCCTTTCTTATTGTTGCGTTTTCGTTGTCCCTTTCGCATTTTGATATTACCCTCAAGATCTGATGTGCCTCGCGGCTCGAAACGTCTTTTTTTCGTCGCTTATTATAGATTGCGGTTTAAGGAAAGGTATAATACCGGGACCTGGGGACTGGCTAGCACAGTTCTTTGGTCCTGGATACTTTTTGTTCCCTATCTTTGGTCCACACTCGCTCTTGGTACTGTGTACCGGACTGGCAATCCCTATACGGATTGGTGAGGCTACGACCGGCGACATTCCCGGCTCTACCCAACATCTGGCATGTTTTGGTATCCATCCACACACTCCATGTCCCGATTCTGGTCGTTCGGAAAGGTTGAAGTGAGGATGTCCTGAAACATGGCAGCTGCTGGCGACTCCTTTTAACATTTCTGCCTGCGGTTGAACTCTTTTAAGGATGAGAATAAGGAAACCCTCTCGGAAAATGGGATCTGTGGTTCCTATCTGACGTTAACCGTTCTTCCCGCCAGCTCAACGCTTTTGTTTTGGTGGATCTTCTCAATTTTTATACCGGAACATCGACCAGATACGTGGACTATCCTCTTCTAGGCTCATCCCCTTTTCTCCGGGCAGATTTTTTATTCGTTTTAATACCTTAATAGTCGAATCATGTCCCGGAGAGGCCTCCCAATTTCTCACCTCTTCCCTGGCTGGAAGGAAAAGGGTTGGTAGGAATCGGATGCAGGAACTCCCATACCTTTACATTCTTTTGGTTAGTTTTAGGGCTGGTTGGGAACCTCCAAAGCTGGGCTTTGGAGATTTTTTTTTTGATTTTTTTGATTTTTACTATTATTACACCTCTTTGTTAGCCTATTAATTAGTCTGTTAGTTATTCCCACCCAGCCAGCCCTATAGTCTATATAGTATCTACGGAGTAGTTAAATTCGTATTGTTCGATAGTTAGCTCGTTAGTCGACCCCTTAGTTTGAAATTTTAATTTCGGACGGGATATATACAGTGCTTTTCATGAAACTCATCGTGACTGTTGATTTTGTCCCATGGTTCATCAATGGATGCATTTTCAATGCGCTTTCGCGGCATCGCTCGCCTAAATTTATCAACGCCTCCAAGCCCCGTTCAACAGCGGGTTGGGTTCCTCCCGTTGACGTCAGTACCAATTCGATGGAATCCATCCTGGCCTCCGCTTACATTTTTCTCGAGCCCGGTATTGGCTTACGGAGTACACAGGGAGGAGAGGGTGGTATGCTTGGTGGGCATTTTTGGTGATATTCTCGATTAGCAACGTCGTTGCTGCCATGTAGACATGGTCTGGAGGGCAGACAGTGAGCTATGATAATGACATTTTGATTTTATTCACTGTACATGCACATACATTATCTATATGTCTGCCTTGCGTCTAGCGAAAATGCGTCTATGATCGATTCAACTTGCTCCAAAGCTCTGACGTGTGAAAAGGGTCCCCTAATAACGGGATATAATTCGACCCATAGCGGACGTACAGGAGTACGCGACAATGCCTAAGGTGGCATCACTATAGGAGCTCCTCCAGCTCCTCCAGCTCCTTCAGCTCCTCCCTACACATATCAGAAAATCTGACATACCCACCTCTCCAACCATTCAAGAGTCGTGTCATTCCTAATGAAAATAAATGTACGTATCCGCTGCCCTGCCTCGCAGCTCGACCCCTCGCAACGAGGTGGACAGAGAGATATTCAAGAGGCTGATGCACGGTTCCCATGAAGTCTAAGATCGTTCCCAAAGTTTCGAGCGCCAACATCCTAGGTCGATGCATCGTTATGTCGAAATCTGATATTAATCCGAATATGGGGTGACGCATGACTCGGAATTCCGATATCGTTAGACGACTGCCAAACCGATGATATACCATTTGTGTCCAGTTGTGGAAGCACATGCGAATAGAATGCCATTGAGGAGGAGGAGGGCGTTAGCGAATATTCCAAGATAAGGGGGCCATGTGTCCGGTCTTCTCCATCCCACCGCAGCAGCGGCTAGGATAATGTTATTCTTGCACCTATATTTTCCAAGCCAAGTCATTAGCACTCCATAAGACAGATTTCAACATGATCCCTCCCATGACTCCGGATGCCCAAATCCGGGAAGAGAGAAACAAGAGGAGAGGGCCATCTTACCTCCGGCGGGTTCCCCGCCCCGCGGACCATCTTTTCTATCATCATAGCCCGAACTTTCTCCTTGTTCTCGCCCATCCCTATTGCCATGTATTCCAACAGGGGCGGGTGTCCGATGTACGATGCATAGCTATCACGGAGGATGTTGGACGTCCACTCGTATTTAGTGGTATCAGCGTGGCCGGTACCGACGTAGCGGGCTTGGAGGGCCTCGAGATTCTGAAGAGTGCGCAATTTATCCGCCATTGTTGTTTATTTATTTATTAATTTTTCTTTTAGTTCGTGAGATGAGAGGGTGATGTAGGTCGTTCAATAATGTGAAGTTCAAGTTGGAAGTTGAGGACCGGCGCGGGTATGAGATAAAATATTTCCCGTTTAATAATTTGATTTCCACGTGATTCTGCGAGAGATACCATCCATCATTATATTCAGTGACATGTCACTGAATATTAAATATCAAGATGATGTTGAGACAGTGCAGAACTTTCTAATATTATCATGACACTACTCAGTAACTGTATAATTAATAGATATCATTATCAGAATACTACTAAGATATTATAAGATACTGTATACTGTTCTGTCAGTGAAATCAATATACTATTAAACTAGTTATCTATTACTCAGCTGCTATTCATCAACTATTTATTTAAAGAAATAAGATATTTCAATTGTAATATAAATATCTTATTACTCAAGACTTATATATTAAATAATCATTATTTTTATCACTATTCTATATTAAAATATTATATAATACTGTCTTTTAAACTGCTGACAGTCTGATAATAGTATAATTATCAGAATTCTCTTATAAAATTAACAGATTCAGTAGATAATCATATATAATATAATATAGAGAAATAAGTGTAAAGAAAATTCACTTAATTTCTCTTATTTTATAAATAAATATAATTATAATTCAGTCAAGCTCTGTCTTTTAATATTGAATAATATTTTCTTTTATAAGAGAGATTCAGTGAATATGATCTCTGATTTATATATTAATAAGTTAATAACTAATTAATTAATTAATTGATTAAATAGACATACTTAGACTGGCCGGTGAAATCATGAATTTCATATTTAATCTCATTTAATCTGATCTCATACATTTCTTGATATAAGTCTCACCAGAATCAAGCATTAAAAAAATCTGAAAATGAATCATTTCTGAGAGAAATGATATGAAAAATGATCAGATTTAATATAAGAATAGTGAAATGAGAGTAATTTCTCAGAATAAACTGTGAAAAATGATTATTCTTTCAAAATCAGAATGAGACTGAGACTGAAGATTAAATTCAGTCTTATTCAGTTCATTTAGTGATTACTTATATAATTAGAATTTGACAATGATTATTGATAATACTTATAAAATAACTAAATACATTTCTATATAAGTTTATTCTTTACTTTCTTATGAAAACTATACTTCTCTGATATACTGTGATCAGAGATATTAAACTATTCAATAATTTTATATTTTATAATTATAAGTTTCTTGATTATTTCTTCTTATAATTATTCTCAGTAATAGTAATAAATATCTTAGCTTGAGTTGAACTTTCACTTCATTTTCATCTCTATTAATAAAATTGTTAGAATATCATATATTATCAGTGTAACAGTTAAATATATACTTTCAACAATTTTTTATAACTCTAGAATTGATTTAATGTATAAATTCATTAAATTATCTTAAAGATAGTAATTAAATTCAGTTTTATAAGTATATAATTTTATCTGATTTTCAGTTATAATTAATATATGTAAGTTCTGTTTCAAAGTGAGTATTATAGTTCTATGTGATATAAAGTGTTATCAAAGATTGTTACTTATTAGAGAATTATATTTTACTATCTTTATATCTTGAATATCTGCTTATTCAAATCTCTGATAGTTGATATTGTAGTAGTCTTGAGCTAATTTAATATATAAGTCTTATTTCTTCTCTATTCAATCTTGAGAAGTGTAGATATTAACTTAACAGAAGAAATCTAGTAGAGCTGCTATAGTATAGTACTCTGTAAAAGATTGTTCAGTTTTACTGTAGTAATATATCAGTTTATCTCTTACAGTAATAGTAGTCTGCACTATAGTATTATTTCAGACTGAATTTCTTTTTGAGTGATTTAACTGCTTCTCAAGATAAGTAAATAAACTGTGATATACTTATCAGACTGACTGCAGTATTGATGTATAAGTGATTAAGACTATCTTTATTATTTTATAAAACTGAAACAGTAAATCAATCACATATTTTAACTGAGTTTACTTCATATCAAAAAGTTTCAATATCTGAATCTTTTCTTAATCAGAGTATTGCACTTAATAATTAATTATCTGATATAATTGAAGAGTCTGAACAGTTATTTTATATATTAAACTTTATTATATTTTAATATTCTATATTATATTCAGTGATGTAACTGATTTGTTTATTTATTAAATATTATGAAATCATTATTATTATTTAGAGAAGATATAAATCATATTAATAATATTTCAAATCTGTGATATTTAAATTATTAGTCAATCTATTCAAAATTAATAGTAGTATTATTAAAAAGCATTATTAAAAAATAATATTAAAAAGTATTATTAAAAAATATTATCTTTTACAAAGTGAATATAAAAGTTACTTAAGTAATCACTTTTATCTCATTCTCATCTTAAGAATCAGTTATCTTATTATTCTTCATCTCAATATTAAGATTCTTTATCAGTGTTTATATTACAAGTTAAATCATATAAGTAATACAGAGAATATAATCTTATTTATTATTTCAGAAATACAAAGTTAATTTTTGCTTCAAGCTCTTTATCATAGTATAGTTATTCACAGTATTATTAGTTATAATTGTAAGAAGACTGAGACTAATATCTCAATAGTTATTTTTAATCACAGTTATTAATATCTCTGCTATATAATTCTCAGTATGACTACTGATTAATGATTTAAATTCAATTAATGTCTCTTGATTAGACTGGCCGCCGGGATCATTGTAACATAGCGGAACCGAAGCAGTGACTAGTCAGCAGTGTCATGTAGAGATAGTTATTTAAGAAGCTGTATAAGTGAGCTTAACTATCTTACTTGAATAGTGAGCTTGTAGACTACAGAGTTATTGCAAGAATATCACAGATATGATACTTAGTATACTAAGAAGATTGTATGAGACACATAGTAACTCTTGTATATATTTCAGTAGAAGAAAAAATGAATTACTGACTTCTTTAATAAGAAGTCAGTATCTAGCTATTCTATATAGACAATAAATGAGTATTCTTCTCTCATTTCATGAGTGAGAATAGCTAGAGTGATACCTCAGCAGCATCTTATTATTAAGAAAGAGTAATCTGCTAATCTTATATAGAAGTGAGATTCTCATATTCATTAATCAGATCTTTCTATAATATATTCAAATAATATTATAGAGTGATTGCAAACTAGTTCAGATAAGATAAAATCATCTGTATGAAAGTAATGAGCTGTGTAAAACTGTAACAAGATCTTGACATAACTGAGAGTATAATAATACTCTTCTCTTTAAGAGTATAGTCTCTATACTTTCAAGATTATCAGATTAGAAATTATCTTTATTGTATAGTAATAATTACTAACTGATTGACAGTGCATGTACTATGTATAATACAAAGAAATAGATGAGTTTTTCTGCTGACTGTGTAGATCTTTTCTTTCTCATCTTCATTCAAATCAAATATATGATAAGTGAGTTTCTTATATATTAACTTAAGATATGAAAAATGTAGTTAATAAGTGACTTACAGATCTTTCAATATATTTCATTCTATATATGAAATTTTCTGTAAAAGTGATGTATTTTAGAAACAAAGTTAACAGTAGTAACAGGATTTTTTAAAAAGATTCTCTTTTCTGTGAAACATTTTTCTTCCCTCTTCTCATCTATAATAGTGAGTGCATGAAAGCATTATTCTTGAGAGATAATAAGAAACTTATTCTGATGTTTTCTAGTGAGTAAATGTCTTCATGATGCAGCTGCAGTCTTCATAATCACTAAGAAAGCCAGATTGAAGACAGCAGTGTCAATGAGCTGCAGAAGTATCACTCTCATTATCACATCTTCTTCTGCTTCTCTTACAGCTGCAGCAGTAGTTGCTGTGTCTTGTAGTGAGATATCATCTCTTCTGCCAGTTAATGTGTCTGTATTCAGTCTGTTCTCTGCCTCTCTCATCACTGTTACAATGCTGCCTCTCTTCTCAGTTAATACAGTGATATATGACCTCATGTGATTATTTGAAGAGAAACTCAGAGAGAGCTTGATTTCAAAGACAGTGACTCTGAGAAGCTCAATCTGTAGTTTCTCTCTCACAGTATATCTGAGCTCTGCTCAGAATACTGCTAAGTTGAGTCTACAGAGTTCTATAATTTCTTTATCTTCTCTCTGTGAGAAGACTCTGATACAGTCTCTGATTAGTACTGCTACTTATCTGTACTATGCTAAGCAGCTGAAGAAGAGAAAGATTTTATACACTTACTTCTTCTCTTACTCTTATTATTTCTGTTATATCTATAACAATAACTTCTATCTCTCTGTAAGTATTACTTCACAGAAAGATGTTATATCAGCTCTGATAAGAAGTCTAGATACTCAAGCAGTACAGAGTGAGAGTTTCAGAGCTTTAAATATTAATGAATTCTATTAAGACTGAGAAGATCTCTCTTACTTATCTATAAAAGAAGATGAAAGTATGAATCTCTAAAATAAAAAAATATCTCAGAATAACTAATCTTAAGAAGAAATCAGCTGATGCTGCTGTTGAAAATGCTATAAAGATTAATTACTGATTAAAGAGAATCTCACTTCAATTAAAGCAGAGAACTGAGATGCTTTATAAATTAATAAGTTAATACTTTAAGTATCTCTTATACTCTTCTATAGCATGCTTCTCTGCAGTATCACAGTACTAACTTCTCAGTAGATAAAGATATCAATATCTGAGACTTTAATAATGAAGAATAAGTTTGATAAGAATATGATTATTAATAAGTAAGCTCTGAGATTTCTTCTTTTTACTTTTTCAGCAGATTACAGCTCTATTAGAATAGCAGCAGTCTGTGAATTAATAGTATTAATCTTTTTATTGATTTTTAATATCTCTTTTCTCTAATTACTTCAGGAATTTTACACTTGTATAGTCTTATTAAACTTCTAAAAAATTTTTTGAGAGAAAATAGAAGAAGAGTGCTACAGAGTCTA